TGAGATATTCATCATAATTATAATTAAATATGTCGTAATGTTGGTTATTCATTATTTTGCTGGATTCAGGTTATGTCGTTATTAAACATATTTGTTTTATTTTTATTCAAGTATTTTGCCTAATAGTTTTTTTTTATTAAAATAATTTTTTTTGAAATCGATAAGTCCCAAATCCCAATTTTAAAATTTCAAATCCCAATTTTTTTTATTTTTCAAATATTTTGCCAAATAATTATTTTTAATGATGTAGTTAATTTTTATATTCTGAATTCAAGCCATTAAAGATAGTTTTTGTTATTATGTAAATATTTAGCCTGATAATTTTATATTTTATTAAATATGATTTTGTAAAAGTAAATAGTTTTTTTTAATTTAAGAAAGATTTGCATACGTTCTCATACAAGAAAAATCATTTTATGGTTATAATTTTATTTTAGTTTGATGATGCAAATTATGTAAAGAAAATATTATATAAAGAGACAAAAATAATCCTAACTTTTTTTTATTGGAAATTTTATTATATTCTCTCAATTTTAATTGTTATATTGTATTAAAATAAATAAAGTTTTTAGTCAATTATTAATTAATTTTTATCATCTTAAAGTAATTCATTCAATCCTTTACCTAGTTTACTTAATTTTTAATTAAACTTAAAGTAATTCATTCCTTTATCACGACTTTCAAAATAATATAATTTAAAATAATGAACTTTAAAATAGAAATTAAATATATGATATGGTATATATATAAAAAAAATATATAATACAATTTTTATTAAAAAGGCCACCAGTTTGGTTAAAGAATGCTCCTTCCTGGTCTATGTTACTTTTTTTTTCTCTATACTATTTGATATCGATTATAAATAAGCTTAATAAATTATTAACTACACAACAATACAACATTAATAAAAATTTGATTTATTAATGAGGCTGTTTAAATTTAAAGTCCAACACAAAATAATGAATTTATTTGGTCGATTCTATTTTCCCACTTTTTTAGGATGCCAGTCTGGTCCATCATAGGAAACTGTTATTAGCGAATAGCGCAATCGCTAACTATTTGAATGAAAGAATTTTTCACTTAAAATTTTGTATTTTCAATTTATTGTATTATGTTTCACAATTTTTATCCATTGTGCTCATATAACATAGCCCAGAAGATTTAGTTGAGGCGGGTGGGATGTAGAGTTTTTAAACGGCTCGATTTGAGCCGATTTTGAGAAAACGGCTAACTGAATATTTTAGCCAGAAATTTTTTTTAGCTTAACCCTCGAGATTTCTTTAAGGGATGTTCAAACTTTGTGCCATTCAGGCTTGCGTAATATTTTTTCTTGAAAAAATATTAAGTTTTGCCATTTTTAATCAGTTCAAATCTAGTTACTGAAGGCAACAGATTATTTGTGGGGTTATTTCCATAAGCAATTAGGAACAAATTTGGAGGCCTCATGCATTTCTGGTGGTCTCGGCTATGTGACTGACCCATAATCTAGCCTAACGAAAAAATTTGGCGTTGTACCAGCTATTAAATCACCATTCATGGCTAATCCGAAATATTTATCCTATTTATCTGCCGATTGCTTTCATTTCTGTGTAAATAGATGGGAGTGTGGGAACCTGGAGAGTAAAATTTTTTAAATTTCGAGATACAACTTCTCGAGTATGAAGAAAGGTGTCAAAAAAATTTTTTAATCAAGTAATCATTTAGTACTGAACAGTAAAAATTGGATTGATTAAGATTTATTCTTAAATTTGTAAAATTCATAGAAACCCAATTAACATTTTTCACCATTAGAATATTTAAGGGAAAGCCAAAGAGAAATTTTTGTCGCACCCCTCCTAAAAATATACCATCGAAATATCTTCTACCGCCAATTTTTTTTCTTCCAAAAAAAGGATTGGATTTTGGATTTATGTAGAGATGAAAAGTATGTGGCAATATCGAATCGTGGCGGTTTATATCAGGACCGTGGACCTTCCAGACCGTCTTGTTTCATCTCTAGCTTTAATAACATCACCCTAACCTCCACCAAATTCCTCTATTTTGCAGACCAACGCCGTTGTACCCCTCTAGTCTTCTTTTCACATGTTAGAACCATAACCTGCAATTCCCCTATACTCTTATATCCTTCCTAATATGCTCATTTTTTTATTTTTCAAAATCTATCTATATTGTGGCATTTATTATTTAACTGTCTCTTTCTATATCTCTGGTTAGCGCGAATTCTCGTGAATGAGGAGTAACTGCCTTCTGATCATATAAAAACGCCCCGATAATGTTTAGATTATTAATTATTATAATATTAATAGGCTTAAAATTTTTGTAGAATCTAATTTTGGAATTAACATGGCATATCCAATCACATTTAATAATACCTAGACTGAGGACGTCATTTTGGTTACGCATAGCATATATAAAAAATTTTAATTTAAGCGAAATAAAATAATACCCTACCTCACGATTATTTCAAGGCTTATTCTTGCAAGAAAATATGTAATTAGCAGACCAAATTTACCTTGAAGTATTCTGGATCCTATATGGGTTGCCAAAATGGCATGCCACATGGTCTCCTGCAGACATTCAAATCGTCGGTCTAGATATCATCATCAAATTCATTTTTATATGAAATTATTCTCTAATTAATTTACATAAATATTTTATTGTACCCTATAAAATTTATTACCAAAAAAAAAAAATTGGAGGAAAATGTAAGATTCAATTTTAACTTTTTTGCTTGCTGCATTAATTTTAATCAATCAAATCGCTTTTTATTAATTTAATTCATCTTTTATATAATATAAATTTCCACGTTTTTCGTATTAAATTTCCTTTTTTAAAATTAAATATTCTGACAGGGTAATAATATATAAAGTTTTATAGTTGAAAAATTTTAAATGTTTTTTTTATACAAAGAAATCTTACATCAAATTTTTATCGTCTGTTTGTTTAAAAAAAAATGATTTTCTTAATAGAATATGGTAGATAAAAACTATCTACAGAGCTTTTAATTAATGGAGGGAGGGTGGCATTTGGGAGCCAGGTCCTTTCAAAAACATTCATGGGCGCCCAAAGATTTTCTTCCCGTAAATTGTAATTTTAAAAGATTATAAAATATTGCATAAATTATGCTTATAACAACACTTCACAGTGTTTTTTAAAAAAGGCAAGATTTCGCGAATTTTGAATTAAGATTTTGGCCAAAATAATATTACGCAAGCCTTGAGATTTTCGCTAATAGATGGCGCAAACTTTTCTACCATCTATTAGTAAAATATCCACGCTTGCAAAATATTAATTTGGCTAAAATATTTGGGTTGAAATTTTTAAAAATTGAACCGTTTACAACACTAAAAATTCAATCATTTATTATAAAATAAATTCAGTTTATTTTTTACAATTTTTGTTTGTTTGGGTCAAATAAAAACAATAAATGTACAGTAAAACCCCCATATGTGATCACCACCCCATCAGTTTGACAATCTCGTTATAGTGATTGTTTTACTTAGGTTCTTTGAGAGAGTATTGGTTGTTAAAAAACAATTCTATCATATGACCCTATAATCGGCCAATTAACCACTCTTGAGTAGTCAATGTAAAAAGATTTTATTGTATTATTTAATAAATCAAAAACCGGAATGGAACGGAACCGTTTTACTTACCTAATCGCCATCCTGAATATTACTAATTAAATCATTATAATCTTTATGGAAAACAGCATGTATTTGTCTCGATTGTTTTCGATATCACCTTTCAATTTAAACGATACTAGTGGCCCTCAATAATGATAAATACCAATATGGTGCATATTTTCCATTGTCACAAACATCATAACTCTCTCTCCTAATATTTGCTATTTTAATTTTTTTTTTATAAATTTAATTGTCAACTCACATCAAATTATTCTATAGAAATGTAAATGTTAATAGTTTATCGCTGTCGCCAATCCATTCACTAATTTAATTATTCGAGCAAGATAAGAATAGGAATACTTGAAATTATTCTATTCGTACGAATATGAAAGTATGCCTACTTTGCCCCCCCCCCTTCTATATACAGTGGCAACCATCGACTTTTTTTTATATAATGTATTGATTATACTTGTCCAATATTTGTTTTTGCTTTTAAATTTAAATCTCTCTCATGAAATTAAAAGAGTTTTTATATATAATATATCGAAAATTAAACTTCAAAATGGTTTTTAACGCCAAACGGTAATTTAACCAATTAGCACGATACCTGAAATGATTTGTTGGCTCTCGCGACGCCGCTTTCGAGTATTTGTGCGCACTAATATGCCATTTTTTTGACAATTAATTTGGCCCAATTGAGAAAAGCCAATGACAAGTAGTTTTGATGTATAATGTTAATCATATTCACCTATCAGATTGACAGTCAATAAAAATGATAAAATTTTTATTAAAAGACATATGATAGTTTGCCTAATAGTCGTTTATTCGAAGACGAATAAAAGGATGAATCTATTCGATTCTTTTTTGAATATAGGCTTACGCTAATGGTAATGCGTATCTAGTCTTAGGCTTCGTTGATGCGCATCTTCGCTTTTCAAAAGTAAGTAAATAATAGATGAAATTTATAATCAATCACTGTTTACTTAATTTCATCGCATCGCGCAGTCATTATAAATTTTACCTATTTGCTTGTTTTGGAAAAATCTGAAGGCCTTATTTATAAAAACATTTAATTTTAAGGCGTTAGATCTAATTGATCAAATACGTCCAGAGTTACGTCATTAGCATTTTATCCAGATATATATTTTTTAAAACAGACAACACCTTTTAATTATAATATATTTTGTATGCCAAAAATAAGATCGATTTTTTTTTATACAAAATTGTATTTTATTTTTACGAGATTTTATAGCCTTTTGCATAAGGTATTTATTACCCGTTCATTGATTGTAATAATAAATTAAATTATCACGCATAACAGACGATAATATTTATTTTTTTATTTTTTATAAATATACACCAAACATTCTAAAGCAAGCTAAAGCTGAGCAGGAAGAGGAATTCATTAGCAACATGCTGCTCAAGAAGATTCAAGTCCTAAAGAAAGAAAAGGAGGCTCTAGCCATGAATTATGAACAGGAAGAAGAGTTTTTAACGAATGATCTGAGCCGAAAATTGTGCCAGGTTTTAAATATATATTTTTTTTATAATCGATTAACAGTTTTTTAGGGACCAATCCAAACCCATTTTCCCCATTGGTCAGTAACCCTAACCTATTTATTAAATATATAATATCTTATATCAACACTTACATTTAGAGTTAGCCCTGCAGGATAAGGCCGGTCTATCCTAACGGGAGCTGACTACTAAAAATTAGATCTTATGTATAGGACTTTTTTTTACAAAAAATCAATATTAGGTATGAGAAATAATTTTTTATCCGCCATTTTGATCTGTTAAATACCAAGATATCAAAACATGAAAAACTTCAAGAGATTTATTTTTTAATATAAAGATATTTATATATTTAAATTTCAAAAAAATAAAATCAAAAAATAATTTTTTGAACTGTGAGGTTACGAGTTCATTTTTTGGTGATATAATTTTGAGCGTTCTGTATATATGTATCAGTACATTACATTTATCGCACTTATATGTCATATTAATCTTGCACCATTTGCCACACTTTGACGATTGGCTTTAATTGGCATATTACTCTAGATCTCATTGGAAATCTTGATTGGCCAGGATGGTATAGATTTTCGGGTGCATTTTCAATCATGGATGTCACAATAAATAAATATATTGAATAGGAGATGAGACATTCAAACCCGAAGAAATATATATTATCCAAGTGGCTGCAATACATAAATGAGAATAGAAATAAAGCACTAACTAGTGTTAAACGTCTCGATTTTTAAAGGGGTCAACCCAATATTCTAGTCAAAATATTATGCAGCCTAGAGATTTTGCACATAGATGGCAGAAAGGTTTGGACATCTATTAACGAAATCTCGAGGCTTGCATAACATTTTCGGTTAAAATATTGGGTTGGCCGTTTTAAAATCGAGCCGTTTAACAACACCCTACACCATTATTCGCTACTCCATCAGGACGATAATCACTATAAAATCTAGATATGTCGAGATAGGCCATGCCTTTTTAATATTTATGAATCATAAAACGTAATAATTATCTAACGCCAATGAGATTATCAAACATTGTTTAAATTTTAAAGATTGCATACTCTACAAAGAAAGGGATGTCATATTGACCGATAAAAATGTCGTTGAAAATTACAAGATTTTACCTTTCAAAAGCTGAGCATTTCCTTTTTCAAGGCTACTAAAAAAATGAAGCTTTCAAATAATTTTATAAGTTAAATGTAATTTAATTGTAATAGCTTGAATAATAATTCATCTGGATTATTAAATTTATTGTATGTCATTTAGTTGTTATGGTAGCAATATATTAATATAAATTATTTTTTTAAATAAAAAAAACACTTCGAAACACGAAGTTTTAGAGTCATATGATTTTTATTATTTTTTTTAATTAACACATAAATATTAGAGAAAAATTTCAAGGTCTCTATGTACCATTTTATATAAATCGGACCTCTTGCAAAGGTCGAAATTTTGAGCCCGGACCGGATTTGAAACAATTTTATTTTCAAGTGGAATCCGGGTTTATTCTTAAATGTTCCATTTTAATTTATTTTCCAACTGATTAATTGATTTAAAAAAATTAATAATGGCCGCCCTCGACTCTGGTATTTTTTATTTTTAAAGTTGAAAAATCCCTGGAGGAGTAATAAATAGATGCCAAGCGAGTTTAACTTTAGCGTTGGCCGTTGGGGTATAATATATATTTTAAAATTCAAAAACTTAAATCGATTTTTTTTTTCTTATTTGTTTATAAAAAAAAAATTCATCCTTTTAGCTGAAACAAGAGAAAGTTCAATTGGAAAAAACATTGGAACAGGAACAAGAGTTACAGGTCAACAAATTGTTGAGGAAAATTAGGAAATTGGAAGCTGAAACTTCTAACAAGCAGGCCAATTTGGAACAAGTTTATCCTTAATATTATATATAGTTAATGAGATAGTGTTTATGTTTAACTAGAGAATAGTCGGCAAAAGGGTCTACATTCATTAAGAAATAATAATTATACCTAGAATGAATTATGGTAAATCAGTTCATATTTTTTTTAGTAATATAAATGACAAAATTATTCTAATACTAATTACGTAATAATAAAAAATTCTCTTTAATTAATAGTTTGTCCTTATTCGATCGTATTATTCAAAAAATATTTGAAATTATACCAAAATATTTTGGAATCTTTCGTAAATATTTCAAATTATTCGCAAGTATTTAGTATATTCCTTGTGGGTACTTTTTAATTTCCACATTAAAAAACTTTTACAATTAATTTTTCCCTTTTGAAAATATTTTTAATTTTTTTAATATTTATTTTCCAATCAAATATTCGTCAAATCTAAACCAATAAAAATTTTATTATTTGCACTAATACGAAATTTGGAATTATTCATTATAATTATGATATCTTAATCTTACGTTTAATTCGTATTACAATGTTTTGGAATATATAATAACCCTACATCCCAAGGTTTTTTAAAATTTATTTTTCCTTAACTCAATTTTGCTTTTATATAATATTTCTAAATGAACTTGGACGTAGTATATGATAAAACGTACTTGACTTTTTTTCCAGTCTGGTAAGAACTCGAATTTAATAACAGATTAAAAGAATTGGCCATTTTGACCCCATCGAATTTTCGTATATTATAAATCATATAATGTCTTGCATATACATGAAAAACGATATGATTAAAATTTATAGAACCAAATAAAATCATATACAATGTATTGAATCATGGGAAAAAAATAATATAGCTACGCCGTGAGAAAATCGAGTTGGAAAACACTTTGGAACAAGAACAGGAAGCGTTGGTCAATAAACTATGGAAAAGGATGGAAAAATTGGAAGCCGAGAAAAGGTAAGCATAATTTATTTTTTATGTTATAAATAAAATTATAACATTCTAGATGGCATCACAGATTAATTTTTAGGGCGAATCTAATCTATTTCTAGTTTTTTTTAAATCTGCGAACTAATTTTTGAACTAATTTATGCTAAAATTTTGTTGAAGATGTTCAACCTTTTTTGACGATGTTCATTTAGCGTTTTGTAAAAATTATGAATAATCTACATTCGATTCTTAAAAAAGAGTGCTTACTTTTTCATAATTACATGAACTGATATAATCACGTGATTATCTTCCCAAATAATCCTTGCTTTACCCTCAATTTTTAAGATACCTTTGAATATAATAATAAATAATACAAAAAAATATCTCCGAGCCTGGCACTCACGATAAGTGAAAATCGATTATAAAAGTGATTGTACCTGCCACCAAAAAAATGGCTTCTTATCCTGAACTTTTCAACTTGTAGCTAGGATATACTTACATTACGAATTCGAAATATTTTTCAGACTCTTGCAAGAGAAGCTGGATCAACCCGTGAGTGAACCCCCTTCTCCTCAACCGCCCCCTTCCGGAAGTTCTTCGTACAACGCTGGCGCGACCAGTTTGAAAGTAGGCGGAAACCATAGCAATACTACTGGAAAGTCGGAGGCGGCTTTACTGACGCGTCACGTACAGCACCTCAAAAACGAGGTGGCCAAACTCAAGAGACAACTCAACGCTACCAAGGATACACGTTAAATAATGAATGGATTTTTTTGCGGGGGAAGGGGGGGGGGGTCCTTAAGAAATTAATATCTAAATTTGAATAAAATTACAAAAAAACGATTTTTAAGATAACTCCCCTAAATTACTAGTCAGCAAGAAACTGTGTTTATTTAGTGGCATTTGAGACCTATAGTCAAACAAGTATAACACAACTAGTTATTAGGCTAAGATAGTTTAAAATTATTTATATAGTCGCTTTTACGCCAAGGTTGATGAGTTGCTAAAATAATAGGGCAGCCATTTAAAACTCTTGGTGATTTGAAAAAGAAGGATAAAAAATATTGTAGAAAAGAAGGAAGAAAAAATTGTAGAATAGAAGGAAATATATCAAAAAATTGCTTTGTTTAATGTAAGATATTTGTTTTTTAAATATCTTGAATATAAGAACCAGGGATGAGAACCCGAACCCTCCAGAACCCTCGATATTAAAATTTAGGGTTCCAGGGTTCAAGCTTTTTTTTTAATTTTTAAAAAATTATTTTTTTTTTAAACTTTCATTTTATTTATTTTAAATTATATTTTAAAAATAATATAATATAAAAAACATGTAATTTACTATTTTCATTTATAAAAGATATCTTATTTTAAAAAAAACATTTTTTGATCATTTTTTCGTGGAATCATTTTTGTAATATTTAAATTTTTCGTAAAAATTTTTAAATTTTACCCAACAAAGCAGATTTTAAAAGTTTTTTTAAAATGAACATAATATATAATATCTATTTTAAGATATTGTTGCTTGTGAATTATTAAATTGATATAAAATATTATTATAAAATGTAATTTGCAAATTATCAAATATAACTTAGATATAATAAGTGAATTAAAAAAATATATATTAATGGTGGCTATTTATTCATAAATATGGTAATACTAATTAAAATAAATTTTTTATTTTAACTAATTTTAATAAGTTATTATTTTTCTGGTCTCCTTACCCATAAACCCGAACCGGGTTCAGAGATTTTTCACTGAACCCAAACTCTAACCCATTTTTTAGAAGGAGGGTTTATACATCCCTGATAAGAACATTATGGTGAAGATATACTTTATAAACCGGAATATTCATAAATAGACAAATAATGGAATAAAAAATAAAATAATTTACAAAGGATCATTCACAAAAATTTTAAAAAATAGAATATTAATACTGAAGGTTTAATGATTACATTAGTAGCTTCATTTTATTATGGTAATAATGTAAGTAAATGTTAATTTTTTTTTAAAAAAGTAACACAGTTACTAATGATGTTACTCCTTTGACTTGAGTTTACGGCACCAATATAATATAATTTTTTTTAGTTGTTTAATGAATATTTCATGTCTAATGGATAATTATATTGTGTAACCCGGGGTTTTAGATTACGAAAAAATGGATCAAATAAGTCGAGAGGAGCAAAATATAAAAAATGAAAGCCAGTGCATGAGGAAAAAATATTTGGAAGAGGTGGCTCTAACTCGAACCCTGTCGGAAAGTGAATCGAGTATCGATATGGAGGAAGATTCCAAGTTTTCTTAATTATTAACATAAATTTTGAACATAAGTTGATAATTAGTACGTGCCAAAATACTCAGAGCATTATTTTTTTTTAGTCTGAAAATCACATTCTATTCAGACAGCTGTTAAGAATTCTAAAAAGAAAGGGAATAAAATGAGCAAAGGATTCAGCAATAATCTTTATATAACCGGGGGTTGACAATGCGCCTTACTTACCCTTGTTTAGACCTAGGTATTATTTCATGAAATCGATAGTTAAAAATCGGAAGGACTAATATAGTAAGTGGAGATTGCACCGACGATACCAAGGCCGGTATTCCTTAAATTTTTATTCATTCCACTGATGTAGCTATTAGTGTTGTTAAACGGCTGAGCCACGCCAGCTTAGTCGAAAACTCAGCCAGTTTTTGAGCCAAAAATTAACTCAATATTTAGACACTGGTTTTTTTGTTCAAAATCTTCAGACACAAAATTTAGGAAACGATTAGTTAAACACATTAATTTTTGGAATTTATATACGATAGATGGCACTTAATTAACATTTACAATTCCTTCAACCTCTTTGATAACAGGTTTATGGACCATTCCCCTCGGATCAAAGGTGGTAGCGGCCAATTTCATCCTTTCCACCCTACCCAATTTCACAATACCCTGAGTAACTCGAACACGTTCAATAACTACCCATCTACCCCTAGAGCCAGAAATATCGCGAGCCCTTCTTTCAACCTACTTAATTCTAACATGAACACTACATCGTTCGGCGCAAATCCGAACAATAGTAATAGTGGCAATAATAATAACAGCACCGGCGGCGGGTTGAACACCAGTTTTTTATCTAACCGATCAGTTTCGCCTAGTAATATGATATTTATAATGCATTTATATATTTTTTTAAATTTAAATATCTACTTTAAGTTTTAGATGAAGTTTAAATTTTAAAACAAATTGTATTTGGAACAAGGGTTTTGTTTTACAGACTCCTCAAAATAAAAAACGAAGATTTTTTCAAATAATTTTTAAAAAGACTCACTTTAAGATTTTGTATCAAATTTTTCTCAAAATTCCCAATCTTTTTTGAATAAATCTTTTGATTTTAAATGTTAGTTCATATGATAAAATCTTTTTTTGATCTTTATTTATAATTTTTGTATTATTTTTATTTTTAATGATAAAAGTGAACATAATAACCTGTCAAAACGCCCACTTTCTGAACAAATCCCACCAGCATTTGTGTCCTAACTGTGGCTATTCATTCCCTTGCCCTCCGCTCGTACCTCAATCCAATTTCATGTCCATGGATGCGATTTCCTCCACGACGAACGCTAATGTTGATTTTTATACTATGATATATAATTTATTTGGACAATTAATTATGCATTTCCATATTTTATCATTCATTGTAATAAAATAAAACTTTTTTCACATCGAAAAAAAATAAACTAACAAATATCTAACAAATTTTTTTTTAAAAATTTAATTATAATATTACATAGAGTAAAATTATATAAAGGATGTCTATAAATAGGACATTAGAGCTTAAAATGTATTTATTCAAGTTTCAGTTACAACATTTTTATATCAGATACTTTAACAACTCTGGTATTAAAGAATATAAAATTTTATGAATGTTTATTATTATTAAAAATATTAAAAATACCTTCAAAAATAAAATATAAAAGTATAGACGATTATTTATAAATAATAAATTAAATAACTTTATGATGAATAATTAAATCATAATGTAAAATAAAATCATTATGGGTGGGAGGAGATGATTTTGCACAGGAATGAAATCTAAAATAAGGAATGAATAAAAACCAATGAGATTTTTTATCCATTAACCTTGACGACTAAAATAAATGAAATATCTTTATTGTGAGCTAATTTGACATAATCAGTTTGCTTTTATTAGGCATTACAATATAATTATATAATAAATTCAATCGTATTTTATTAATTCTCTGACTAATTGCTTGTATTTTATTGAGTTTTAACTTTTCACCATTTTTATGTTCCGATTTTGGCCAAATTAACTATTTCTTTTAGTTTTTATAGTGTTGTTAAACCGCTCGATTTTTAAAAACGGCTAACCCAATATTTTAGCCTAAAAATGTTATGCAAGCCTCGAGATTTCATTAATAGATGTCCAAACCTTTCTGCCATCTATGTGCAATTTCCAGGCTTGCATAATATTTTTGACTAAAATATTGGGTTGACACTTTTTAGAAATCGAGCCGTTTAACAACACTACGTTTTTATGATATACCTTTCATTACTATTAGATTGCACATATAGAATCTGACAATATTTATTGTAATGCTCGCATTTTTATTCCTAATAATATAATTTTGTATTTAGGCACCTTATTTTTTTTTATAGCATTGTAAAATAAAATATTAACTAGAAATCTTCTATTTATATATAAATATATACTTTATAAAAAAAATTATTACTCGTTAAAAAGGTTGGGTTTTAAAGAGCTAATTCTTATTTAAATTCTAAGAGGCCCGGGTGATTCTCTCACTCAAGTGTTGAATGGATGCATAATCTTAAATTTGTAGATTAAATTTTTTTTTACTATATAAAATAATTTTTTTCTAAATTAATATATAAAAAAAATAGCGGTCCTTAAAGATAAAATTTTAAAAACCAAGGAATCTAATTTTTGGCAAGATAAAATGTATTTAAAATTAAAAAGATTTTTTCGAAATCATAATATTTATTTTATGATTATGCGATTCATTTTAAGAGTGTAAAGTTTCATCGACCAAAATTAAATAAAGATTTCAATCATCATCATTTAAAACTTTAGACAATAAATCCTATTTAGACATTGAATTGAAAGAAAGTGGCTGAGATAGCTAACGATGTCCTATTATATCATAATATTTTTTTTACCCCCGTGATTAGTGTTGTTAAATAGTCGAATTCATTGGACTTAGAGTCGTTAGTCGATTTAGTCGACTAACTTTGTTCACTCATGTTATGAATACGATTTAAGCTCAAGTCGTGAACTCGAGTTTAGGAAGCCAAGTCGGTTAAACTTAGTCGATTAACAACACTAACCCATGATGATCAACTTAAAAATTCCCAATTTACCCTTAAGATAATAATTTTTAAAATTTCTTATTTTTTAACTCGTAACTTTTTTGCAAATATAAGCTGAACTGCCCAAAAACGAAGCAACGTAGCCCATCAGCCGAGCTTTTCGCTAAACCGCCTGCTCCTCCTTCACATTCCTCAGCCTTGGTTACGCCACCCATGACTCATTCTAATTCCTACCCCATATCCACTAACCAAGAAGCATCGATTTGCCCCTCTACCTTGACGAAACATGGTGGAATCGCGTCAAAACCTCGACAAGACGACAGCGCGAAAACCCCGCCTTCGAATTCATTCAGGACGGAAAAGGAAGGGGATTCTTTTACATGATAGATAAAAATATGGAAAAGCGAATAGGAAAATTAAAAAAGATTTTTAAATATTATATCAATTATTTTTTGCATTCTAAAAAAACATATATAAATTGAATTGTTGATTTAAAATCAAGCTTTATAATATTAGAATAATTTTTTAAAATATAAATTTTCTTTATAAGATTATTTTTTTGTTGAAACTATTTTTTTTGGCAAAAGGTATAAATATATATATATATATATATATATAGGGATTTTAAAACATTATTAAGGTTATCTATACACACAGAGCCTGCCATTTTTTGCCGGGCCACAAAGTTGTAAGATAATGTTGGATTATCTTAAAAATGTAATAACAATTTTACTTTTAGTTGCTTTAGATACGCTTTTTAATGGCTTCAAATTTCCTATTTTTAATAAGATTTTGGGGTATCTTATTTATATTTCGTTAATATTTGTCGTATCAATTTTTTTTAAATATAATTTCCCTTTTATTTTCTTTTTGTCTCATCATTTGATTTGCTTACACATCTAAACCTTATATTTAAGAAGGATTTATAATGGCTAGTCTAATATGACGGAAATACGCATCGTAATCAATTAAATTTTTTATATCTCAAATTAAAATTTTAATGATATTATTCAATATATCTATCATTATATTCCATTAATATTTTATTAACATTTACCCATTTATAAAACGTTTTGAAATTCGCTTTTTGTTGTATTGTGATATTTTAAATCATTATATAGTTTATATATATAATATTGTGTTTTTTTTTAATTTTGGAAAAAACAAATTATTTCGTTCAAGGAATTACAAACATATTAAGAAAAAAAAGGATGATAATTAAGTTTAATTTTATATAAAAATTTTTTTTTTTATTCTCTTCACACTTTTTTAACATCTTGAATTAGTATTAATTTAAATATTATTTTTATATTTTTCCATGTTTTATCATTTATTTTATATCAATAAAAACTAGAATTTTAGAAGATGTTTAAAATAAAACTAGTTATATTTCTTCAACTATATCTTTTATACCATCTAAATATTTTTACATTGAAACCGCTCTAAACTTGTTCATTCCCCTTTCTGATGGGATAGACCTGGCTTAGTACAAAATATTTTGGGCCAAAAACAGTTAAATTTTTCCAAAATTATACGCCTTACGCAATTTCCAGACAACGCTTTTTCAAAGCGGTTCTTAAGGCATGTTTCCGTTAATTTTATTTTTACCAAGCAAAGGATAATAATAATATTTTTTTAAAAAACGTAATGGATGGTGTCTATCAGACGTCATTTGAACGTATAAATAAAGTTTTTATAAATTATTAAATGGTGTTTAAGCTGACTCATTTCATTTCCTAATTCGGTCATATAAAATTATGGTATTTTTTTGCACGTGACCTTGTCCATAAAGACCAGAAAATAAATATTTTCCCATAAACTGCCAGCAATAGATGGCTTGTTAGTATTCCTTATTCGGCTATGAATTCCCTGAGCGATCAAATAATGTTTTACAAAAATATTTAAAAAATATAATTTTTCATCGAAAACTCCTACAGGGTGTTTTGCAAGCTTTTGAATGAAATTAGGACTCTAACAATTTCTAAGCAAAAATGTCAGAAACCAAAATTTTGATATACTTTTAAGCCCAACATAATACACCTAAATATCAAAAACTGCTTATTAATTTCTATTTTTTTGCATTTAACCCCAACTAACGGATTAAATTTTAATATTGTATATGATATATAAGTAATGTAAAAGGAGTAAGTCTTGCACTGAGATTTGGTCGAAATAAGAATGTTATATAAGTCATTATTTGGGAAAACTAAAATAAATTCTTCGTTTAAGTAAAGTTTTTATCTTTAAAACAAGGAAAAAGTCTTTTATTGTTAACTATTCGTCAATGCGATAATATAAAAAATTTTATAATAATCTTTTTTCTGGAAAAATATGAATCCGAAATCATTAATCAATTGAAAGAAAATTTTTTAACAACTTCTCGCAGCGAAAAAATTTTAATTTTAACTATTTTACCAAAATCATGGACTAATAAAAAAATTGAAGAAGAATTTTCCACGACTAATTTTATGGCCAGAACAGCCAAGAAGTTAGTTAGGGAAAAGGGTATTCTCTCAAATCCCAATATTATTAAACCAAGTCGGTATATTTCAGAAGATATTGTGGAGAAAGTAAAAAAATTTTATAATTCTGAAGAAAACAGTAGGCTTATGCCTGGAAAAAATAATTTTATATCTATGAATATAAATGGGGAAAAGGATCAAGTGCAGAAAAGATTAATTTTATGTAATATTAAAGAACTTTTCGTTCACTTTAGAGAGACTCATAACGATATTCAGTTAGGTCTCAGTAGATTTGCATTCTTACGACCCAAAAACTGTGTTTTAGCAGGTGGTCCAGGTACACATACCATGTGTATCTGCACACTACACCAAAATTTTAAGCTTATTTTAATAGGGGGAAAATTAAAACAGCTTACAAACAATAATGATCATTATAATTATTCTCCAATAAACGATTATAAACATTGTATTGCACAAAGTCTGTGCAATCCTGCCCAGCCTCGATGTTACTTCAATAAATGTAAATTTTGTCCTGGATCATCCCAAATAAAAGAAAGACTAATTATATTATTTGATACGAATTCAATAGATTATATATCATTTAAACAATGGTTGGCAGTTGATAGAACAACGCTCGAAACGCTGACAAAATCAGCTGATGAATTCTTAGATTATTTATGAGAAATTAGACAATTTGATTCCACATTCATTTATAGCATCACAATCATTATTTCAAAACAATTTAAAATCTAATTTAAATGTTGGCGAATACTTAGTTATTGCCGACTTTTCGGAAAATTATGCATTTATAGTGCAAGACCATGCACAGGGATTTCATTGGACAAATAATCAGTCCACTATTCACCCTTTTATCATTTATTATCGTCAGGACAACACTATAAAACATATAAGTTTAGTGGTGATATCAGATTGCTTTAAGCACAATGCCTGTGCCTTTTATTTATTTCAAACTAAAATGATCTTATTTTTAAAAGAAAGATTTGATACATTGACCAAAATTTATTATTTTTCTGATGGAGCCGTAACCCAATATAAAAATAAAAAAAATTTCATAAATCTCTATAATCATGAATGTGATTTTGGTATAAAGGTCGAGTGGCATTTTTTTGCTACAGCTCATGGAAAAAGTCCGTGCGACAGTTTAGGAGGTATTACAAAACGGCTAGCAGCTCGAGCTAGTTTGCAACGGCCATATCAAAACCATATTTTGACAACAATGGATTTATTCGACTTTTCAACAAATAATATACATGGAGTAAATTACATTTTGTAAGCAATAATGAATACAATAATATGGAAAATCATCTAGAAAGCAGATTTTTGAGAGCAAAAAGAATTCCGGGAACACAAAAATACCATGCTTATATTCCCCTTGACGAAAATAAAATTAAAGTCAAAATTTATTCCAATTCTTTAGATAATTTAATATATGATATATTGTAAACATAATTATGAATTATTATATTATATGTAATTATGCATTTCAGAAAAATAAAGTTATAAATTGGTTTAAAATTATTTTGTCAAGTAATTTTCAGTCACAATATGTTAACAATTAAAATAAAAAAAGGTTAGGGCCTATCATTTAGACATAATATAAAAAAAAACATTATTTCATAAGTATTCATTAAATGAAGATATTTTTGATCAATTTAAGCCATATAAAGAGTCATAACTCCTAGACCCTTTTTCATCCCAGGCTAGGATTTGGTACAAATATAAAGCAGTGTTATATCTATCTACAGGAAAAAAATTTCGAAAAAAAAATACCTTTTTTTACTATGGCCATTTCCGGTTTTATACATCCGGTTTTGGACATTCATCAAATTTATATCATATTTATTTTTATGTCATATTAAAGAACTATTATTAAGCTACATAATAAATTTAAATTATTTTTCTAACTTAATCATTTCTCGAGATATTTGAAAATAAATGAGACACTTTTGTCAAAAATGTACCATTTTTCCGCGCTTTAAACGCCCATATCTTAGCGGGTAAGCCTTTTGGGAGGTAAAATTTCATTTTTTTCTTAGTTATAGTATATACTACCAGTATGCAAAATTTAAGAAAAATTGAAGGGGGTCGGGTTGAGAATCGACTTTTTTTGGTTGATTTGATATGGAATTCACCATATATTAATTTCAATAACATCCAATTTAATTATGTACAATAACATCGTTTTGATAAATTTAATTTAAAACCATAATTGGTAATTATTATATTATTTCATTAATAGTGCAAGTTATACCTTTCTTATATATTTCTAAGTCAAGGGTATAATTACAAAAAATAAGCTATATTGGATTGCTAGGTTGACTCCTCCCATTAGCCATATATATTGTAATTTATAACTTTCTAAGTTAAGAGTATAATTACGAAAAAAACTATTATGGATAATTATTAGCACAATTATAGTGTAAATTATACCTTTCTTATATATTACAAAGTCAAGGGTATAATTACGAAAAAAAAACTATTGGATTACTAGTTTAACTCCTCCCCACTCCTCAACCAATTATTTGATGTTGGTATTATTTTAAATGTCCAATACTAAATACTAAAAATGTCAAAATTATACTATTTATAATTTAAATACTAAATATTAATGTAAAAATTAAACTGTTTATAATTAATGTTTTTTCAAAATTATTATTTATTTTTTCCTCTTAGAACTACTTCTAATTTATATTAATTTTTATATGGATTTTTCATATAAATTAATAAAATATCTATGGCCTGGAATTGGCTGAAATTTATAAGGTAAATACTCTACACATGCTAGAATACATTGCCGGTTAAATCGGATTTTTAAATTTTTTAAATGGCCCTCGGTAAAGGATTTAAAATCAAGAGATTCCGAATCCCCATACGTCATATATAAATTTTACATGCTTAAGTTTTGTTTTGTTATTTAGAA